AAAAAAAAAAAAAAAACAATAAAATATAAAAGAATTGTATTTAATTTCGTGATATGTCAACATTTCAGTTTTGAATGACGAAAATATTATAGATATCATTTTTCTATAAACTAAGACAGCAAACGAAAATAATGAGGATGTGTCTTCATAAGCCGAAGTATTCAAATAATTTAAGGCATTTAGAAAAGAATTTCGATGGTTTGAAATACAAGAATGCAACTCTAGCAGAATTATTTTTGCCAGGAGTGTTAGGCAATCTATTAACTAATAATACCTAATACTTACGTGTAATTTAATATAAAAAAAAAGTGGTTGTTCTATTATTTTTATACTTTTTATATTCGTTATAAATATAGGAGGCTTTGCAGTGTTCCTCACTTTATGGGTCATAATTTAATTTAAGTTTTTAAATTTTCACTAAATTTTTAATAAGACGTGAATTTCAATGATAGTTGTTACCAAATACAAATTCAGAAATCGACAAATCATTAAATATTGAATATTATTTCGTTCATAATTTATGTAAAAGCTTTTAATAAATATAATTCAGGCTATTGTGATGACTTTTTACAATTTTGAAACAGTCTGCCTATTTTTATATTTCAATCTTACATTTACTTTAGCAAACAGAAATTGTGTAACGTAAGACTTAATTGAGAAATGATGCGTACTATGTAATAATAAGTTCTTTCGTTTATACTAGAGTTGTTTCTTAATATTAGAGAAATGTAAGTGAATCGAAAATGACTGAAAAAACGCAATAAAATTAAAATTATTAATTTTACACTTTCTCATAGTTAAATATAAATAATGAAAATTGAAATTCAAATGTTTTTGATAAAATGAGATTTACACGTTCTCAGTAGAAATATATTGCGTGTCAACTTTGTACATGTAAAAATTATTGCAAAATACCATTTTATTTATTTATATAATATATAGTGACTTCAGTAAAATTCTTAAAAGTTATTAAAACTTATTTTATTTTATTATGTGTAACTTCTAAAATTTTATTATATTTAAAAATTTACTTAATTTTATTATATTATCAAATTTTTATTATCATTGTATTTTCAAATTATATCATAAAATTGACTTTATCTATACTATAAATACTTAAGGGTCGTGGTACCATTATAGACAAATGTGTTGCGTTCATGTAGTGTGAAGATTGAAAAAGCTGCTCTACTACAAAAAATAATAAAACTAATAAAATGTTATAAATCTTGTTATAATTGTTACCCATTAGGTCTATCAGGATAGCTCTCCTGTTCTGGTATTCTCGATGTTCTAAAATTATCTTGATCCCCTTCTACTGAAACTTGTTGTTGCTGTTGTTGTTGTTGTTGTTGTTGTTGCGGCAATGATGGCGGAAATCTCATTTGTTGCTGTTGCCGTGGTTGCGTTCTTATAAAATCTTGATTGTAATTCGCATATCGATTGTCCTGTGTAGACGAAAAGGACGATTGTTCGACGAACGCATTTGAATTTCTTTGTCGGTTAAAGGTCGATTGACGTTGTCTTTGTTGTTGTTGTTGCTGCTGTTGCTGCTGCTGCTGTTGTTGGTAAGCAGCAGGTGGTATATACGGTTCGTTCAGGAAAGATTCTTGATCGTTAAAATTTGGAGCGGGCGCAGGCGGAAGTACGGCGTTCAGACGAAGGTTGTTCACTGTCGATTGTCCTCCGTTTTGTCCACCGTAGAAGAATGGTGTAGGCGTTGCCGACTGATACGGCAAGGTGAAGTTGACCAGTGACATTTTTATTTTTATTCTGCAAACAGACATAAAGAAATTCTTTCGATCGCTTTCGAAGAATATTTTGCTCTTGTTTCAAGTCGCCAGATTGCTCTGACATTTTTTTCTTCTGTTTCTTTTTTTTTTTTTTTTTTTTTTTTTTTGTATGACACGCATTCGAAATTCGAATCTATTCTTGTTGCTATAATATTTATTTATGAAATATAAATGGTAATAATGAATAAATAATAAAATAATATTTCTATAATATTACAAAAGTAAACTGTGACACCTGAGAAATAACACGTGTGTTTCATTTATTTTCAATGTTAAATTAATACTTTTTATAAATAAATCTTTTCAAAAAATTATTACAAAAAATACAAGAAAACGTATTATTCTATTGGTACGTAAAAAAAAAATAAATATTATTTCTATAATGTAGAAAATAAAGCACACACATGCACTTTTTTCATTATACTAATAAATTAATATTTTATTGTAAATGAAATTCGAGAAAAATAATTGTTTCTAAATATTTTTAATACTGTATGTAATAAAATACATAAATTTGAAACAAAAAAATTTATAAGTAACTAAAGTTTCGAGTCAAAAAATTACATTATTATTTTATTAATATGAAATCAGTACAATATTTATTTCCGAAGGAGTATTATCTCTGTAATATGATATCATAATATTATATATATGACACATTCATTTTATTTATTTTAGTAAAATTACTACTTCTTGTACATGATATTCGAGAAAAATAATTATTAAATAATTTTGTTACATGTTGAAAGGAATTCAGAGCAAACAATAATATTATACATTAAAATATATAGATAATTTCGACTTACCGTGAAATAAAGACGACACTTTAAGTGGAAACAGGGAACCACGTTCTCCGATTGTCAAGTTTCTTTTTCAAACTCTCAGCTCCGACGACCGTGATTTTGATCGTGTAGAAAATCACATTTTATTACCATAAACTTCATGATCAGTCAGTAAAGAAAAATTGAAGAATTGAAGAACTGTACGTTATTCGAGCAATTGATTTCACTGAGATTCAGTTATAAGTTTTCTTATAAGTGTTTCACAAATCTTTCTCAAACACGTTTTTAAATTTCACTGACGTATTTTCACTGAAGTATTGTTTTGGTTTTACAAACTGCAGCAACATATTCGATATTTGAAACATCTGCTAATTGTTTGAAACTTCGATTATTTAAAGTTTTCTAGATAACACGACTAAGATTAATGACTCATTTCTTCCCCTATTCTTCTCGCGTAATGCTTTCGTGGACGTCGAGATCGACCTGAAATGATAAAGAAAAGTCAATATCTCGCGGATATGTCGCTGACTGAAGCATTAATCATTATTTAAAATATAAGTCTATGACATTAAATTTAATGAGATTTAAATTCTATGAGATGTTATGAGATTTATGCACTACCGAGTGATTAATTTTTATTTGTTTCATCTTTTTATTTTTTTAAGGGAAATGTAAACTACGATAACAAAACATTGCTTTAATCATCATTTTATAGCATATGAAAAATTAATACATAATTGATAATAATGGGGCAGAAGTAATAGAACAGTTGTCGAAATTAAATGCTATTAAGAGGTATAACCGTTTCAGAAAATCATATTAAATTTGCATTAATTACAAAAATATACAAGTCAATATTATAAAGAATTAATTATTTGCCTTGCCTATGAATTTACCCACGAAGATGTAATTTTAATGACAGTTGTAAAAATTTGTATTCTTGTAAAATTTATAAGCAACTTCAGGAAATTTATTTCGAGTAATAATATGTTTAGACATATTAAATTATTTTTAATCAACTACGATTGATTGTTAATAATAAATATGTTTTCATTGAATGTACTGATTAATGATTTTCGTAATTTCTAAAAAAATAAAAAATAAGGAAAATATTTTGGCAGTTCATTAACACTGCAGTGAGACATAACAATTATACAGGGTGTCTCAGAACGGATGGTATAAGTAAGAAAGTGAGTCGACAAGAAAGAATAAATTTTTTTCATTAAAACCATCGTTTTCGAAAAAAATCGAATTTCAAAATTTATCAGGTATACTTGAATTTAGTGACAGAGTGAATTTAATGACAGAAAAGAATAATTAACAAGAGATCATTCTACCTGCAGAAATAAATAAATATAGAATAAAATTTTTTTGTCAAATGCTTTATTTTCGAGAAAATAATGGAATTGAAAATTTATCAAGTACCTGTAAAGCAATTCAAAGTCTATTCAAAATTTATTTTCTTAAAAATGACGCTTGGAACAAAAATATTTTATTCTTTACATGTTTCGTTTATTTCATTACAGAATTTTTTTGTGTCGATTAGTCACGTTTGTTCAATATAATACTTGATAAATTTTCAAATTCGATTTTCTCGATAACGAGAGCTTTAATGAAAAAATTTTATTCATTCTTTCCAACTCATCTTTTCACATAATATCATCTTTTATTCGGTTGTACTATCCTGAAACGCCTTGATAAAGTTGAAACAAATTTAAAAATACTAGAAGAAATAGAATAAAGGAATACAAAAATTAGGCAATTCATTGTGTGTATCAATATTCAGTAAGACCATGTTTAGCATTTATTATATACACTCAAAATAGCTTTATGTTAGGTTCTCTATAAATTAGAAAGACAAGTATGAAAACGTTTTTTCGAACAATTTTTAATGTTCTATCAATTTGTATATAAAGTAGTGGAAAAAAGTCACTAGTAATAAAGATTTAAAAATAGTAAATAATAAAGAATAAAAACTTTTATTTGAAATTTTTTAAAAAGAAACGTGAACTATTGAAAAACAAACAATTGATCATGAATCATCATTTAGAATGTGCAGTATTTAAATTTTCAAAGTGAATCAAGCAATAAAAGTGCAGTCAAATTTTTACAAAATATATAAATATTAATTTAATATAATTATAATTAATAATTAATTGATATAATATAACATTGCAGTATATATTAAGACATTTTCGAATATATGTTATAACAGCATAAAAATTTATTTATTATCATAATGTCTGTACTACATCCTTTAAATGATTTGTAAAACATATCCATATTTCGTAAACAAGACCATAAGATTTTAAACAATTCTACTCATGTTCATGAAAACTTGAAAACATGTTCACCGATTTCTTTACAAAACTATGATTATGTTGCTTACTTCTGAGACTCAATATGTACATGAAATAACATTCACTAAAATTATATTATTTCACACTATTGCAAATTAGATTTTTATTTCACTTGTAATTAATAAATATTTTCATTTAAATTTAAATTAAAATTTTAAATTTCATTAAAAAATTCTACATTATAAATTATGTTTGTCGATTATAAAAATGTTTAATACCAAAAATACGTAAATATTATTTTTCATTACGATTAAATACTGTATTTTATTATATTTGTCAATAATATTTGTCAACTATTATAAATTGAATTGTAATATTGTCATAAAATATAAATTATAAGTTACATTTATTTATTAATTTAGGAAACGTATTTTTAGTATACTTTTTGATATCTATATTTGTATATACGACGTGTAAAAATGTATTTTATTTATATAAAAAATAGATACAATTTTCTGACAAAAATTCCATTCATTTAATTTATGCAAAGAATCCTAATATTCATATTATTCTTGAATTACAAAATGATAGAATGAATTACAAAAATATAACATTATAGATAGAAAATTTATACAATTAAATATATCATTTAACAGATATATCTTCAATAAATTTATTTTATATTTTATTAAAGAAAAAAATTTATAAAAAATTATATTTACAATTTAGATAAATATTATTAATAGATTAAAAAACTGATTGAAAGAATGAATACAGAAAATATTCACATACTCGATGAAAAATATCAATACTGCAAATTTTCATATCTTTGATAATGATAATCTGCCTCGACTCATTTAAATGCATGAAATTGTTATTTTCACAATGCTGAGTTCCTTTTTCCAAAGATATATTTACATTATAAAAAGGATAAATAAAAATATGTTTTTTTCTAGAAAATTTTAAAAATTCAAGCGTCTTTACGGATGCAGAAAAATTTCTTTTTATAACTAAATCCATCACCTTGAAGATTAAAAAATTTCCCGTTTACAGGAGTTTCTTAAAAGTTGTTGTACAATTTTTTCTCACGAAGCTATAAATGTTTAAAATGTTAATATTTTCCGTGTATACGAATACTTTTTGTATCATCTATATCAATTATAAGATCTATAATTGGCAAATGTTATTAACAAAAAGATTAAACAAATAGTTGAATGAAATGAAAAGTGT